AAGTGTTATATCTTTTTATATAAGTACTTCTATATCTTTTTAAAAATATAATTACTGTACATAATACACCATTATTTATACTGAATAATAATTTTTATATTTGTCATAGTTCTGTAGGCATTTCAGACTGTGTCCAGAAACATGTGAACAATTAATAGATGGTTTTCAGCAATCAGATTTCTTCCCAAAAAATGAAATGCATGGTGGTAAATCAGCAGTATCTGCTGAAAAACATATATTATCATTTTTGTGGTCAGTACAGAACAATAAAACAGTTTATATAGTACATTTTTATAATATAACATTTTTATAATATTGTATAATTTTATTAATATTTATATAATATACTTACGTATGTTTTATAGGTTTGCAGGAAACAAATCATCGATGCGAGACGTAGCAGATCGATTCGATATAGCTATTTCAACCTGCGAAACAATTTTATCAAGAGTTATGAATTACCTTCTAAGCATAGCTACAGATATTATTAAATTTCCTAATAATGACAAAGAAAAAGACGAGCTGGCTTATCATTTTTCAAAGGTTACATCTTAAATAAATTTAGAAAATTACTTATTATTAATATAATAATTGTTATTAAAATAATAAATGATTATTCCTTTTCACAGATGTCAGGTTTCCCAAATGTAATAGGATGTATTGACGGATCGTACATAAACATTCGTACTCCTAAACATAAAATAAGATCTACTTATGCTAATCGATACGATAAAACGAGTCTTACATTACAAGGAATTTGTGATGATAAGAAGAGATTTATTGATGTCTTCACTGGAGTGACTGGCAAATTTCACGATAGCAGGACATTTACATTATCCTTCATAAGCAAAAATATTAGTGATATATGTCAAAATGGAAAGTATCATTTGTTAGGCGATAGTGCTTACCCATTAAGGGAATATCTTTTAACACCTCACAAAGATTATGGAAATCTTACTCAATCGCAAAGAATATACAATAAAAAACTTTGTGGAACTAGAGTGTGCATCGAAAATACATTTGGCTTGTTAAAATCACGATTTCGTCAGTTAATGGAATTACAATTTCACGATGTCAAAAAAATGTCAAAATTTATAATTTCGTGTTGCGTATTGCACAATTTATGTATTGATTTGAAGGATTCATTCGATCTAGAGTTAATAAACGAACTCAATGATGAAATGTTTAATATCGATGATTTTCAAGTTATGGGAGAAATGGAATTAAAAAGAAGAGGAGAGCAGAAGAGAAATGAAATATGTGATACCATTTCACAATAGTAAATAATAATTAAACAAGGTGAAGGACAATAGTAAATAAGTTATTTT